GAAAGAGTTCTGATGACTTTAAATATTTGCTTGGAATAGTGGGCAGCTGGATTACTATTCTGCTTAGAGAAATGTAAAGGATAACTCAGATACAGGTGCAAGGAGCTATAAATTATGATCCCAGTTAAATCAGTGATTAGGTACCCAACCTGGAGCAATCCACTTGATTTCTCTGTGACTTTTTTTTTATTTCTTCTTTAAATTTAGGATGACAGCATGTATCTCACACATTACTTGTGATGATTATACTTGCAGAACATCAGGTATCAATCCAATAGCCTAAGGACTCTCAATTAAAGGGTTATGTCATCTCTAGTAACCAGGGGAGACATCCCGTCTAAAAATTAAGTCACACATATATTATTTAAAATATCTAGTATGGCTGAACAGCTCAGACTTTTAAACACTTGAAAACAAAATACTGTTTCTTTATTAGTTAAGCAGCATCAAGAAGTTTTCATGGAGGTACTGATCATGCAAAGGACCCACCTGCAGTTGCTCTTCACGTTTCTCCATAGTCTGTTGTATGTTCTCCAATGTTCCTTCTAACTTTTGTAAATCCTCTTGCATTGTGCTGGGCAGCCCACCATCAATCTGCAACTGTTTAGCTTGAGAAATCTGTTGTTGCACATCTTGCCTCTTTGCACGGAGTCTCCTTGTCCTTTGCTAAAAAGATTGATTCAACAGGAATTATTAGACTTTTTAGTTTCTTTGGGAAACTGGCATAATGAAACCATTTCTGCTTTTGCAGGGTTAAGCAGTGAGAGGAACAGACAAATTGATGAACTGTGGCAAGTATTCTTGTGAGTCTTGTATACTCATCAAGTACATGCCTTGGGTTCCAAAATGTGTTTACACCTTTTGTGGTATACAAATGGAGAGAAATGGTGACAGTGTGGCCATTCTTCCAAAGCAGTATTTCAGAAAGCGGAAGCCACAACACCTGAGTAACTGCAGCAGTAAGCACAGGTGGATGTATTCCTTACAACTGCCTGGGAGCCTCCAGGTCTGCTCTACACTCTTTGAGGCACAGGTTGTAGCCTCAGATTGACCAAAGCAATGTATCAACCTGCATTAGAGAGCATTAGGGGGATGGCCAAGTTGCATAACTCTTTCCTTGATGCATTTTGCTTTGTAGCACTATCAGAAACTCCTAAGACAACATCACATCTCCTTTCCTAACATGCCTGACTCATTGCCAGCCTTGCTAGATAAGCTCACAGCTCCCTGCTCAACTCTACTCCGGTATCTTCAGGTTCTTGTTGAAGTCTATTTTTACCTTAACAGACTCCATATCAAAGAAGAAGAAGAGTCTGAGAACTCAATGAGAAGTTTACTATTCCTACTATCTGTCATATGGTTGGATAAGGAATGTAGAGTATTTAAAGAACAAATACAAGCCATAACACATACAATAGCTTCTACGAACACCAAAGAGTTTAGATAATACATGGGTAAGACATAGTACTGCTTGGTCAGAGAGTTAGACATGTCTGACCTTACAGAAACAGATGTTAATATAAAACACTTACATAATGCCCAAATATTGGCAGTAAATTATTATTAGCTTTGAGGAGGCCTCAAAGTTAATTTCCCATATTTAACCCTATGATTCTGGCTGTACACAACCTAGATGATTTATTATTACTGTAGACTGTAGACATTTTAATCTATTATCAATGCATAAAAAGCCTCCTGTTCTACAGACTGGAGGCCCATCTGTTACTGCAGCAGCTCTCTATAGGAGGAGGTGAGGCTAAAGGTACACCTTCTCTCTGGCATTTAGAGTTGGGGCCACATAAAAGCTGCTGAAGTAAAGAAATTTCCAAAACCAGGATTGGGACCAATTTACCATGAGCAAATCTGACATGCAAACTTCAGGTAAATCAAGCTTGGTTTCCAGGTGTTCTGTGTCCAAAAAAACAGTGTCAAATAAAAGGATATTCAATAAAAGTTGAAAAACAAGCTCACCTTTGAGAATTAACATTTAAAATATAATCAGTATTTTTTCATTAGAAGAAATCAATACTAGGCCATATGAGACTGTTTTCTTTATAACTATTTCAAGTTTAAACAAAGAGTTATCTTAATGGACATAATAAAATTTTGTAATTACATAAATTCTATCTTGAAAAAAAAATTTATATGGACATTAATATTTGCCTTACCTGATGATGAAGTAGGAGTTGCTGAGCTTGTAATAAACTTTCTGTATCCAAGATCTTTTCAGCCTCTGCTTGGGCTTCTTTAGAATTGCTGATTAACTCTTCAATTGCACTTTTAACTTCTTCTTTGTACTGGACACAGTCTCCAACAGTGCCTACAGTCTTTTCAATCTACAATTACAGATAAGTTTAAGAATTCCATGTTGAAAGGCTCTGTATTTTAAAGGCACATTTAATTTTAGAACATTTAAAAAAAACATAGTAAATTGTCTAAATTCAAACCAATTTTGTCTCTAGCATTCTTGACCCCTTTAACTTTACAGTGAAAGAGTGACTGTAGACATAAAATGTGACCGAGGACATCTTTGTTTTGTTTAGACATACTCCCTATTACAGTGCCATATGGTAAATGGCTGTGACAGCCACATATTAGTGATCACTTAGAAAATACATGCTGTCCTCATCCTTGCAAGCTGACCCAGATTGTGAAACACCTGTGCTACTCAACTCACAAAAAATCTTGTTACCTTTTGGACCTTCTTGAGCAAAACACTGGTGAGTCACAAATATATTTAAATGTCCTGTTACCCTGATTTTATGTACCACACTATGCATGTGGTGGAATATCCAGTTTGCAGAAATTTATGATGAAAAGGTGTATTTATTCAACATATCAGAAAGTTCTTCCCCCCTTGTACGATTCTGCTAACTACTTGTAGCTGATTCTCAGTACAGGCTCTGTTCCTTAGTTCCTGTGTTTTAAGGTTTTAACCAGAAAGTATTCTAGAACTGAGAAACTCCTTTCTTTTTTTCCCCCTTGCTTTCTTTCTTGTCTAGATTCACTTTGGACAGTCATTCAGATCCAAGCCATTCTCTTTCCTGTTATATAAATGTTGACTCTTTACTCTCCAAAAAAGTATTGCTGAACTCTGGAAATACGCAGTGTCAGTCCTTATCTAAACAGTCTCACCCATTTGATTAAGCTGTAAATTTAGCTGTAAAGAATATTCAGACTTCTAAGAATCAGCAATCTTCTACCTATGGTTTAAACTGCCATTTGGATTCAAAACAAGTTTAGATTCTAGCTCTTATCATCTTTTTTTACCTTCATGAACTTGTGTTCCCCTTAGTTCTGACTTAAGAGGAAACAAAAAGCAAAAGTACTTTAACATATAAAAACAACAACAAAAAACACCCCAAAGATTAAAAAAAAGGACAGTATGTGTATCTTAAATTTTTTGCAGTCACCTGGAAATCAGAACATTGATTGCCCCAACTTTCCAAACACAATTTTCAAACCATGGATATTTAGAGAAGTTTCAATAAATACGTGGAAATTTTATACATTTGGAACACCTACAAGCCTCCACAAGAACTGACATTAACAATGGAATTTGAAATCTGAAGTCTTTCTCTATCCTGATCTCCTTTATCCTCATTATCATTCAGACCTCAGAAAATGGCAGCCTTTTCCTGCAAATTCAATGCATGATAGACATCCTTAATGAATTGAAACTACCTCACAGTAGTTCCTTTATTAATTCAGCATAAAAGATACATAAATGAAGATAAAAGTTAAATTCTATATCCACTAGCTGATGTACATGATAGTTTTGCCAATGTTCAGTATGAGCTCATTTTAGACAATTACTTTTTGCCTCTAAAAATACTGATATGTTGATTCCATAAACATTTACTATGATGCTTTCCAATCCTACGAAGGCAAAAGCTCCATTATAATAACATCAGTATTTTTTCCCTGCTACTCTCAAGGCTTTGCTACCCAGGGAGTACAAACGAGTTTTTCATTGTTGAATCCTTGCAGTTTAATTAAAATACCACAGTGGGGAACTTGTGCCTGTGAAGCCATGATTGATGTCATTTCATGTGACACTGTAAATGGAGAGTTTTTGTGTTCCTCATACTGTACCTCAGCCAGCAAATCTAGGAGTCCCTTGAAGTCACTGGAAAGTTTACAAAGCTCATCCTCTGTCTCTTTGGCCTCCAAATCAGGACACACTGTGGTCAAAACAGCAAGTCTAGATTTCAGGCAGCTGTGATTTTCTACTTGCTTCTTAATATGCTTCCGAATTTCCTATGAAGGAATCAAAAGGTATTTTCTTCAAATAAACAAAATACACTAAAAAGTGGCATTCATAGTATTGGTTCAAAGATTAGTAGTGTAAGCATACTACCATATTTTTCTATTTGGATACCCTATCTGATTCGTTTCCAGTCAAAGGCTGTATTTTTGCATTTGGTCCACAGGCTTCACTTCACTACTACTTTTTACACTATTCTTTAATAGGTAGTAGTAGTAGAGCCTTTTTTCCCTAAAAAGTAATATTTTTTCTATAGATAGATGGTGGATACCATGTATGTAAATTTGACCAAATTTCTCAGTTACCATTTAAATCTTAAATGCTGACATCCCCAGACACAAAATTTCATGTGGTAGGTTTTGTGTGTATGTTTTTCCCTATCTAAATAGCTCTTTCTCCCCCTCTTTTCACTCAGTAGTTCATTTATATTTTTGTGCCAGTGCTGACGAGAAGTTGCCAGCAGTGAAACTGCATGAGTAAATCAGAGTTTCTGAAACAGAAGTATGTTTCTTTGCACAGTTAACCTGTTAATTTTCACGCAGTCTCCTACAGTATGTGACATTCCTATTTCTGCTTTTAGTATGTGAAATAAAAAAAGAAAGAAGGGCTAAGATAGGCTCCAAATGACACAATCTGTTATTGCCTAAAACTAATTTAACCAAACAACTCAACTGTTCTATCATTTCTGTTACCAGTTACCAATGTAACAGAGAATGGTAAAATATATGGAGTATCTTTGCCTCCCCTGTTATACTATTGTAGAAGAGAATTTTTATTATAGAAGATTTCCATAAGTGTAAGACAGTAACTCCATCCTTCAAAAACCTCCAGTCTGAAAATTTTGGCTTTTCTTTGCACAGCACTTTCAACTGTATGTGCAGCAGGATGAGAGGCAGGTATTTATTCTATCTGCTTCTATATTTTGGATGTTCTGAATACACAGGTTAAGGGACCTTCCATTATCCAAATTATTAAAAGTAGGAACTTATGCCACACTTTATTGCAATGTGGAACATTCTCCTGGAAATGTTTTTAAGAATACCACAAATCAGCAGAGCTACTATGGTCTCCACAGTAGAACAATTGCAATACTTCAGAATACAGTTTTATCTGGAGTCCCAATAGCAACGACCATAGATTTGTTAGAATATAAACCAAGGGCTCACCCCCACAGATGCTTTACATTGCTTGTATTTGGCAGTATCATTGACACTTTCCTTGATCTTCTTTAGCTCTCTTTCTGTTGATGAAATCCAATTTGCCAATTCAGAAAATCTGAAATAAAACATCGCATAATGCAGAACAAGGAAAAAAGACAAAAAATGCACCACCAAATGGTAACCTTCTAAGTTTAAGCAAAAAAAAAAAAAAAAAATCCTCTCAAAACCCCACTATGATTTGTGGAATTACTACAGGAATTAGTTTTCCATTTGAAGCTGACAACACAGTATTATCATTCTTTACGTGGTACTGATCTATGATGACATTTAGATGAGTGACCACTCATAAGGCTCTACAAGACCCAGTTAGCAATTGAGCTGAAACCTTTTCTTATAGCCCTTCCAGGTGTCCGAGTGCTCTGTTAGCTTTACATATGTGCTGTCTATCTGGGATTTGAGCTCCTTCAGGATTCGTTGGCTGCTTTCCAATGTAGCCCTCACTGGATCAGTAACTGGCAGTTTTTGGCACAGTTCTTCAATCCGTTGTAGCCTTTTCTCACACAGATGGTAACGTCCCTTGTCACTGAAGAATAACTGACCAGAGACAAAGCAGAAAATACAATAAAGATATTAACTGGCAGAAATCACAAAGCATATCTAGATATTTGTTACAAATTGTACTAACGCCCAAATTACAATTTTTGTTAAAGGCCCCAAGTATTGATATGATTTAGTTCTGCACAGAGTTTTTGATGGATTACAAGTTGGTGAGACCCTCTGTTTATTATTAACATTGAAATGTATTTCTGTAAATGCCCACGTGGTGGCATATAAATCGCACCATGTGTTCCTCGATCATCCTTTCATTGCCTTCTCTTGACAACACCTTGTTCTGTCGAGCTAATTCAACTCTGCACTCCTCCACTGTGACAAGGAACTTGCTTTTCTGTGCTTCAATCTTCAAGTGGATCAAATGATATGGGGCTTCTGTTTGAAGATCCTATGCACCCACATCGGCAATAAACAAACACAGAGATAAAACATTACTCCTATTATTTCAGTGTGATGTTACTACAAATAAATTATCTAAAAACTCCTAATAAAGAAAATAAACACATATGCATGGACAGATGGGAGGTTCTCTGTATTCATTTAAGTAAATAAAGCAACTCTGATACCAATATCTCTGAGGTATAAGTTTCTGGGACCAGAATAGGTATGCATATTACAGAGACATTTTGATTCTTGGCAAGACATACCAGATCTTTCCTGTATAAAATAATAAAGCAAACAATAATAGTGAAACTATATTCACAACTGCTTCCAGAGGTTCCTGTTTGTATGATAGTGAGAAAACACTTATCCATCACATTGGCTTTGACCTGCAACATGCTATAGCAGGCAAAAAAATCCATAGTATATGGGCAGTGTTTGTTCAGTTATTAGTCTTTGGCTGAAGACACAATTTAAACCAGTAGCCTGAATTCTTACAGATTTATTTTATTAAGGTTGAGAAAGTAACTGAAATCATCCAACACCAGCATAAAGTAAAGAAAAGCTAGGACCTATTTTTTCTCAACAAATGTTCTTAACACACGTGTCATTATGGCTGTATGTAGGGGAAGAAATTAAAGTTTCATAATTAATTCATATTTCTCACTTTTGACCACTTTACTTAACAGGGCTTTTTCAAGAGGATATTTTTAGGTGTAACTGTTTCTAATGTTGTAAAATGCTGTTGGTTTGGGGTTTTTTTTCTTCCTAATTGCACAGGAAGGTAAATAATACGAAACATATTTTATTTTATCTTGTTTTTTTCAAAATATAGGTCATGCAGAAACATTCCAAAGTTAGTAATTAGAATTTTAAGAGATTTCCATTCAATGTCACTGACCTTCCACTGCCTATGGAGTTTTCTCACAGCTTCCTGCAGGTTGTGCTGCTCTTGTTCTGGGAGGATGTCAGTAAGTTCATCGCATGCTTTCAGAAAGGCATTTAGGACCCTCTGATCCAACTGGTTGAAGAATTCCTGAAGTTGAGGTGGGAACAGGGAAGGTGAGAAGATGAAGCTGGTTACTGATATGATAACTTGCCAAAATGAAGTTCCCTAATACACTCTGTTACTTCTGTTAACACTCTTACTTCTGCTACACTGAAGAACTGAACTTTGAGCTAGGAAAGGACTATTTCTAGCTATTTAAAGTCCAGCAAATAACTTATTCTCAGCCAGTACACTGAGATGGTATTTTAACAAGAATACATTTTAAAGCTACATGCATAAGTAACGGTTATAATACAGACACAGATATTGATCAGGGAAAAAACAAATAACAAAAACAAACAAACAAACAGAAAAAACACACACACACACACAAAAAACCCAAAAAACCAACCAACCAACCAACCAAACAAAACAAAACAAAACAAAAAGAAAGGCAGTGGATGCATGAGACTGGCAGAAGTTAGTGTCCTCACTCCCAATGGCTCTACTTGCAAAACTGATCTAGGGACTCTTCACCTTCTGGTTTCTTACATTCACGAATAAAAGGGATAACTTTTTTTCCTCTTTGGTTTTCAATCTCATTGTTAGTTTGACCTGACCTGTGTAACTTCTAAATGTGAAAGAAATCCACATCAATTTTAAAACTAAGTAGGCTTTTCACTTGTATGTCATGCATTCAGAGATTTCCATAAGGAAGGTCAGAGAATTTACTCACGCTATGTTTTCTGAGAAGTTCTTCAGGATTTCCTTTTTCTTTCAAGTAACAATTGGCAATTTGTATTACTTTTTCCAGTTCTGCTCTAGATTCCTCAAATTTCTTCATCAAACGGCTGTTTGCTTCTATGTTTTTTCTCCAGTCACCAGCTTTTCTGACCATATTCTGAGTTATAAGCAAAGAAAATGAGCTGGCACTTTCACATTGATCTTTATTTCTCATTTGTCATGATCTGACACAAAATGCATGCCATTGGTGTCACCGCTTCAAATATATGCCACAAGTGCTTCTTATTTTCATGATCCCATTTTCCCCATATTTAATACTTATACTAAGGCTTGTGCTAATGCCATCCTTCATTCAACTGAAAATGGGTAGCTATCTAATACAGATGGCTCTGAAACCTTCAGAATGCCTCTGCCATTTGGCTGGGGTTTTGAAAGCCTACTTTCAAATTTAAAGCACCTGCTATAGCTAAAAGCTTGCCATTCAATTTTTCATAGTAGGAGACTACCTCCTCCTCCATGAATCTACACGAAGGTGGTTTGACCTATGGATTCAAACAGTGCCATGCTGCAGGTCTTTTGTCCTGGGGGAGGCTTGTACAATTATCACACTAGTAGGCCAGGTAAGAAGCCAGGCAGAAAGCCACTTAGAAGACAGCAAATTTTGTGGCTAAGCCGCTACTTTGAAACACTTGTTTTGCAACCTTAGTTACAGCTTTTCATTCCTGGAGGTATTCAAGACCAGGTTGAACAGAGCCTTGGGTGACATGGTCTAGTGTGAGGCATCCCTGCCCATGGCAGGGGGGTTGGAACTAGATGATCTTAAGGTCCTTTCCAACCCAAATCATTCCATGATTCTGCTTCATAGTCTGTCCCAGTGAACTGAATTATCCAGTGGTTATAATTCCATAAACAAATAAAAAAATTAACTAGGAGAAATGAACAGTTCACCAGTTCAAATGCAGAGAGGTAATTCCAGCACTGCTTACTAACAACACACTTTGCCATCCTCACTGATTACAAACCCCAGTGTAAGGAATTGTAATGATTTTACCCAATGAGCTAATCAAATTTGTAGTTCTCAATTTACACATGTTCCTACACCTTTTTAAAGTTTCCTGATAAAATTTTGTGTATAATAGTAGAATGATACAGGAGTGTATTCATTGCATGAGAAAATGCTTGTTTCCAGATCCATAAATATTTTAACTCTGGTTATGCCACATTTTATATGGTTATGCCATGTTTTATAGGCTTATTTTCTAAGACAAAAAGAGATAAATCACCATCCCTCTTCATAAAAACAGAATTCTTATTGTTTAACATGGCAAAATTACCGATCTGCTTCTGTTATTGTAAGCTAAACTTAAACATTTTCTAAACTGTAAGTAACTGTAAAATTCCACTGATCTTTAAGTACAACCCAGAAAACACAGTAGAAATTTTGAAATCCACCTTTTAGAGACACCTCTTTACTGATAGGTGATTTTCTGTAACTTAAAATTCAGTTTAGACAGCTTTATATGGAACAATAATTGCCTGAAACAAATCTAATAGAACCCAACATCTAGAGATCTCACTCCAAGATAATAGTTAATTTTATTTTAGAATCAGGCTAGACTGGGGGTGAATAGCCCTGAAAATATCATGATGGCTAGTAACAACACAGAGCTCTACAGGTAAGCAGGATTATAGCCCAAATTACACATCTTTTCATTAACAAATGTAAGTAAGTATTGCAACTTTCTATATTCACAATCCACTGCATTTTCAGAGGAAATACAAAGCCCAGCAATAGTAGTATTTGCAAAAGTTTCCATTTTCCATGCTTTGTGTGAAAGACGAATTATGGGAATATAAGAGCAAATAATTAGTCAAGATAACAAAGTCAAGAGAAACAAACACTAGTGCAGCCTTAACAGGTAGATTTCAGGTTCCTTGTTACAAAGGAGCCCGAGATGTGTGAAAATTCTTCTTAAATCCTGGGTTCCTCTGAGGCAGGTGCACCTCTAAATAACTGCATAGAGAACATGACCATCAGTCCCCTGACCATTACTACCTAATGCAGACAAATCCTTAATTAATAACTTAATACCAGAGGGAAGAGCTCTCTTTGACAGTAGCTACAGTGTGATGAAATGGAGATACAGTAGGATGGATCAACTGCATATGAAGAAGCTCTCAAAAATATGCACCAAGGTATGGCATAATTACCTGAAAAGTAATCTGAACTTGTGTAACTTTCTTCTGAAATGTTGTCTGATGGAAATGCTGTAACAATTCACTTGAAGCCACACACTGCAGGATACTCTGACTATTTCGCTCAATCAGGGACAAATCCTTCTTGCAGTTTTCTTGATAAGCTACCAAATCCTGAAAGAAAGAAAAAAAAAAAACCAAACATATATCCACCCTGGCCAGGAACAAAGGAGAGAAAAAAATAGCAAAATAACAGGAACATATTTTTTGACAAGAACAAAAGGGACAAGCTCAAAGCACCACAACAAATAGACTACACAAAATATTACATGGAAGAACACAGTCCACACAATTTTCTCCTTATGCAGAGTCCTGTACCCAAATAGAGCTCTAGCTATCTATGAAAAAAGACACAGACATGTATCCAAACCTTTCAGGTAGTTTTGTTTTCAACAAATTAACCTTTCATGTCAGCCATTGGAATTTTGATTACACTACAGATAGGCTATGCTTGTTGTCTGACTATGAAGTAACATTTACTCAGGTAAATAATTTTACCTGAGCAAATTGCTATTTTGCTATTTGCTATACCAAAGCAAATTGCTAGAAAGCAAACTGTAAATACTCAGAGGCAGCAGATCTTTGTGAAACATTTTTGAAACTTACTTGTGCTTTTTGCTTAAGAACAGTTGTAGGTTGTGCTTCAGGATCCACAATAGAAATTATTTCATTGACTTTTTCAAGAGATTCATAAAAATGTGTAATTTGTTTCTCCAGTTCTTCCAGTGGAGACAGCAGATGCTGGCATTCATACAGTAGGGCACAGGAATACTCCTTAACCTTTTGGCCATTTTAAAGAAAAAATAATTATTAAAAAAGTTGAAAATTTCAATAAATAGCAACTTCCTCTTCATGTGGGTTTATATAGTCACTACCTGCCTCTTTTAAGATAGATTGATCCTGATCAGGTATTACTTCCTAATTAAAAGAGTATTAAATTTAAGGATGGTAGTCTTAAAGAAGTAACATGTTCTCCACCCTGAATCTATTGTTCCTATAACCTATTGTTAGTATAACTATGTATTTGCCCAAATGCATATATGTGAGCATTTACGTAGTAAATTAACTATTTACTAATTCAACAGTCAACAACATATGTAATAGAAAAAGTACTCTGCAACCTTGCTCAGCTGCTCTTTGATCCTTGTCAAAGTTCCCAGCATGTCATTCGCTTCCTCTTGGGAAACTTCTTTTGTAACAAGTTGCACTGTTCTTGTAACCATTTTGTACTGAGCTTCCATTGCAGGCAGTTTCTGCTTAATATTCTGAAACAAATGTTTCAAAAAGTATTTCAACAACAGCATTTATGCATTCAGGGGAGATACAAGTCTGTTCTCAAGAGACAAAAAGATATATATTCCAATTATTGCTAGTCTTCATAGCTATTTTTAGTGAACACTGGGTCACAGTTCAAATGGACGAAAACTGTGTCAAAGGGTGTCATCAGCTCACCTGAAAGGACTTGCAGCTACGCATTAAAAAACATCCAGTGGGACAGTGTTGTGGAAATGTGCCTAGAAATGTCACTCATAGAATACAATGATTTATATTAGCTGTAGCAGAAATGATGCAAAAAAAGCACCACTGCTAAAAAAATTAAATAAAAATAATGGAAATGTATACTAAAATAATTTTACGCTATCAGACAGTTACAAGGTTTTCTCCTTTTAAGGAGAAAGGAATGGAAAGGAGATACGTACTTCTAGATCTTGTGCAAACGTTTTGACATCAAGGAAGGACACTTCTACAGGGACTGAAAATTTTCTATTGCTTCCATCAATAAAAGCTGTCAAATGGGTAACACCATCCAAGTATTCCTTCTTCATTTTGTCCAGTTCATCTGCTCGAGCATACTAAGAAAATGTAAAGTAAAAAGTAAAATGAGAATGCCAGACTCTCACTTGTTCCTAACCTAGAATTAACAACTCAATTAATTTCTCATTGTCTACAGTATCAATTTTGAAAATTCAGCAAAGAGAATACAATACAAAATGCTTAGAAAAGCTGAAGGATAAGGGAAATTTCAGTAAAGGATTGCTGGCTGGAGGAAAGGGAAACACGGGTCTTGGAAAGTTGAAAGAACTGTATGACAGAAATGGTAAAAAGACAGTGAGAAAACTGTATATCCAGCACATGAAAGAAGCTGTGTAAGTAGAGGAAGAGACATTTACATCCTGGACATTGCTGATTCCACAGTGAATCACTCTATCATCAGCAAATAAAGCTTGAGAATATTCTAGACAACTGTTTGGAAAAGTTACAAAAAAAAAAAAAAAATGGGCACCCATTTTTTGCTTTTCCATTTAAGTTAACAGTAATGGAGATAATCATGCCAATAAAGAAAATAGATTCAGCATCTTTGAATGTTTCAAAATCTGATATTTAGAATCACTGGAAGAGGAAAATATTGTTAGATGTATATTGACTACAGCAAAGATATTTTATAGTGTTTCTATGAGGTGTGAAATACTTCTGTGTAATGTAGCTCACATCTTCTCTTTGCTTTTTAAAAAGCAAATAGAGAAACAACTCTTTTCCAATCTATTGAATCTCTTCCATGAAATAAAAGGTATTTTTTTTTTTCATTATCAGTGCATCTGTATACACAAGATAAAAGCAATGTCTGACGGATTTGGCAAAAACATTTAGTTAATTAACTTGCATTGTACCTGCTTGTGGTCACAGTACAATAATTGAATGCAATGGTCATTAAAGAGTGGTAAAAATATTCGCTTTCACCATTTTCACTGTTTAGGTTTATAGAGCTCTTATGATAACAATAAACCCAATCATTTTCTTTGAAGAACAGTAAAGGATATGCATAAATAATATTGACTGTATCAAGGCAGGAGACTATCAGGAAAAACTACTGCTTATACTAGCTGAAAATGTCCAAAAATAAAAATAAAAAGCTGTATAAATGAAAATACAAACAAATGAAATCCCCAATAAAATAAACTGCTGTCACGCATTCCTCTCTAATTTAAATAATGAACAGTTAGGCACTTCAGTAAGTTGTCCTATAGTCTTGCTTGTGGGGCAAATCTGTTTTGCATACATAGAAATGACAAAGTAAATATCTAGAAGCAATAATAGCAAAACCACATACCTGCTTAACTTGCATAAACAATTCTCTCCATCTTCCATTTAGTAATAGAAGCTGCTGTTTAAGGTCTCTGGAAATGGTCTCATCACATGTTTCAATCAGAAAATTACCAGCATCATTCATGGCTGTGTGCTGCTGGATCCAATGAGGTAAGTGTCGGAAGAAATCCTGAAGAAAATGAAAACACCTTTCTGAAACCTTTTCAATTATTCTTTATCTCAAATCATGGTGTTAAAATTTACTCACCAGCTAATGGCTTGAGAAAACTCTTTGAACAATTATCCTCTGAAGCTCTTAATACTTGATATGCCATAATAGAATTTTAATGTGCGTGAACATAACATGTGGAATTAAAAAATACCACCAATTTACTTACAGCTTATTTTACTCCAGTGAGTAGTTTCAGTTAAATTAATGGAACTCCTCCTTAAGAGAAAGCTCCACAACTGAAAGTACTCTTAGGGCTCATCTAATTTCTATCTTGTCTTGAAACAGTATGGGCTGATAATAACCTCAGCCGTATACAAACTGTAGAGAGATTGCCCCCCTTATGCAGCTTTCCAGGGTCTGGCATCAGAAAAGACCTGAGCAGACTGATTCTTTGTCACTGCTTCCCTCCCGTTCAGAGTAGATGATGGTCAGCCTTACTAAAGGTCAAGAAGAAAAAAGCACATGAAGAGAACTATTCATGTCCTTCCTTCTATACACTTATTCCCATTAACCATTACCTTCCTCAGACCCTGCTGGGGAGTCTCCCCATTTCAGAAGACAACATAAAGCATGTGTAAAATTTGGACAAGTTTGGAAGGTACTGTGAAGCACACCACATTCTTAATTAAAATTAATGCAGGTCTTTTTAAGGAGGTCCCCAGATGAAGTCAGGAAGCCCTCTGATAAGCTTTGGATACAGCTGTTGGAAAAAGGTGTGGGAAAGCGTAGTTACAATGGGGTCATGATTGAAGTGCTTAAGAGGTACTGCAAGTAAACAAAGAAGTTGTAGAAGGAACAGTTTGTTCATTAATACCTTTACTGTTAAATTTCTAGTACTTTGCAGTAGAAAAATCCAAGCACATACCAGTTTTTTTGCATGATCTTCTGTGCTACAGGTTCACAATAAGGTTTTTGAAAACAGAAGCCAATGAGAAAGCCAACAAACCACTTCCTTTTGCAAAAAGAACAGTGGTACTTGCTGGTCTTGAAATCATACAGAGATAATGGAAAGAAGAAGAAACCATGACAGCATGGTAAGGAGCTACTACAGTCTTTACCTAGGTTGAAATACAGTGGAATTAAGTAATGCAGGTAAGCTTTGCTAAAGATGATCAAAGAAATCTTTGTATCGTATTACTGATACAGATTTTATAAAACAAATATTCAGAAATGTTTAAAAAAGTTTTATGCCATATTCCAAAACATTGAGATTTCATCTGGGATTCCAGCTGATGGAATACATGACTATTAATTGTTGAAAACAATATAACTATTGCTTTTTGGCTTAATAACCAAATATTAAAACCGCTAACTTAGAACTATCCTTGGAACTAAGTAAACATTTTTCCTGTGGAGTGCTAGGTTCAACATTAATAATAGAAGTAGCTTTAAAATATTTATCTCTGTCTACAGATTATATTACCTCTCAGTAATCTTCAAAAGCTTTGAGCCAATGTGATTTTAAGAAGAAATCAGCATTTTGGGCATAATAAGGCTTTCATGTCAAAGGTTTTTGACAAGGCTTTTTGAAATTCTTCATATATCAGAAAGGAAAGAAGTACTTGTTGGATTTAGGTTTGAAATCAGAAGCAAGTATATACTCTACAGATATTTTCACATTTCTGCTATCAAAATCTTCAAAGGTAAAGTTATAAAACTGATCAGAGAAGTAAGTATTTTAATTTTATTCATATATATGAATATAAGAATATTTAATTTTAAGCATTGCCAAGTTTCTTACATAGAACACACACAAGGAGCTAAGATCAACCTGATCAGCTGATGTCATCCTTCCTGCTTAGTAATAATAACTGTTGGTATTTATATTATGTCAGACTATTGAATTCTTTCCAAAGGCTTATTTTGTATTTAAAAAGTATATTCCAACTTTAGTGAATTTAAATTAATACACTTTTACCAACATTTATACTGTTCTTTCATTTCTGACCTGATTTCACTTTGATATCTTTCAACCATACTTTAGTGTTAGGAGCTAGAAAGTTGCTACATTGGGATTGGGTGATAACGTAGCACCTATTAAATACAGTATTATCTAAGGCAATCTGGGTAATTATTGAAGCTTCTCAAACATAAATCTTAGTGCTCCAGTACTCTAATATTAGAACAGAAGAAAAAAAAAAAGACAGCAGAACTATCTTTATGATTGCAGGTCCCAAAAGGAACTACCTAAAAGATTTCTAAAATGCCAGGGAAATGGATTAATTACCCATCAAACATAAAAAACATATTAATCATCTTGTCCTTTGAAAGCAACTAATGCTGAAACCTGTCATCCATGTGGTAAAAAAATCCATGGAATAAATAATATTCTTTAAGTATTCATACATAATATACATATTCATAAATATTATTCTTTAAGTATTTATACACAGCACATCACCTTGCACTTTGGTGTTAAAAGCTGAATTTTCCTTTGAGCGAACCATGTGACATTCCTATCTCTGAGCAATATTGCTGCCTTACATTCATGTCCAAGATGTCTCTAACTATGTTATCACAGATGATGTCCTCCCTGATTACATGTATATCTGTGTATGTCTGTACACTATGTGCAAACATTGAAACAACTATGATGAATGCAGACAGTACAGCCAGAACTAAATAAATTATCTCTCTCTTATGACATTTTGTAAAACCACCTAAGCAAATGCAAAAGCATATCCCACATTTCATAATTTATAAAGTAGGCAGATACATATGCTATTAGTACATACCTTTTTAGAAGGTTCAGGCTGATTCAGCATTTTTTCAGCATCTTCCAGCCAAGCTTGCAGACCTGCCACAGTGCTGCTGTATCTGTCCCAATTAGCAATTACTTCTTCCAACATGCTTCTTACACTTCTGACCTCTACTGAGAGGTTCCTCCACTGTGCTGTTGTTTCATTCATGAATTTCATCACATTCTCAACTTCTTCCACTGAGATGCAGGGCAGACATTGATTATTCTTGTAATTTCGTGTTATGCTTATCCATTCTCATCATGTAATTATATTTTACTGCAACTTCTATTTCAATAGGTTTTTATATACAAATGCACAGTCACAGCCCTATTTTAGTACAAAATTGCAACTGAGAAATTAAAGCTGTGAATTAAAGACTAAGGAAAGTACATAAAGAGAGTGTTGTATTGAAACAGTCACACTACACATTCAGCATGGTGTTAATTTCTAATCTGTGATAAATAAATTAAGGGAGAAAGTCTCCTTAGAAAAGCAGAAAATAATAAAGTTGTATAATGTACAAACACATAGTATGTCTGCATTTAAAAGTACTGAATGAAATTCTGATCATCTTTCCACAAACTTTAAAACCAAATTGCTGCTAACTTTTGCCATTTAATTTTTAGTATTTTCCTCACAGCAACAAAGGAATAAGTGTTTCCTCATCCCAGAAAAAAACAGAGAGAAGAAAAAGGACCTAAGAAAATCCTAAAACTTCATAAAACATGCAGAATACAGATAGTTTAAAAACCACTTTTTTGGCTAAGGTGTCCTCTAATTTGTGCTGCTGTTTCTGAACTCATATAAGTGAGTAGCTGCCCTTTAGAAAATAAATTGTTACTGGATTTTTAATTTTTTTTAATAGCATTGAATAAATCTATTAATTTCAGTATTTGTAAGAATACTTTGTAAAAAACTTTCACTTTCGTAAAATTTGAGTGTCACCATCGTTAACTTAAATTTCCCAAATTAAAAATAAAAGACATCTATTTTCTCTACACATCTGCTAATCACTTCAGCCGCTGTAGCAGTCTTCCACAGACATTGTTGTGTTATCTACCGAGCAGAGATTAAAGTGATTTCATGTCTGTAACTATCTGGGTCAAATATTGCCCGCATGTATTCTCACTGAACTCAGCAGTATTCAGGAACTAAAAGAGGCAGTTGTTGAATCAGCTAAATATTTTCCTCATGTATGTCATATTTCAAGTATCATCTGGGTTCCTCTTACAAGTTTTCGTGGTTAATGAAGAATCTTCAATAAATCAGGGGATAGTTTTGCTACTACGGTGTTACTGGGACCTGCTCTCTTTTGCCTTTTTCTAGTGAAGCCAAGCCAGGGAGTACTTCCAGACACCAGAACATGATCTTCGCCACACCTAATTTGGTCTCTGGCATGCTTCTGGACCAAACCAACAGAAGGGGGCCTACAGAAATGCTGGAGAGGGGCTCTTCATTAGGGACTGTAGTCACAGGACAAGGGGTAATGGGTTTAAGGACAGGGGATGTTCAGGTTAGATATAAGGAAGAAGTTCTTTATTGTGAGGGTGGTGAGGCACTGGAACAGGTTGCCCAAAGAAGTGATAAATGCTTCATCCCTGGCAGCGTTCAAGGCCAAGCTGGGTGGAGTCTCTGGTGACATGGTCTACTGTGAGGTGTTCCTGCCCATGGCAGAGGGTTGGAACTAGATGATCTTAAGGCCCTTTCCAACCCTAACTGTTGTATGATTCTATGGACCTCTCCCATTAGGAAATCTGAACACAACCGCTCTCTTCTGGAGATTAAAAAATTTCAAAAGCAGGAGGGCAGGCTGCTCTGCACCAGATGGCTTCATGCTAGAGAATATGTGAAACCGCGACCAGAGGCTGTAGCCTCTCTGGTGAACTGCAGATGCAACAAAGCTCTGCTGCATGGAAGAAACAAATACTGGGAGATCTTTTTGGAGGATACTTATGTCTGAAGAAATCAAAATGGTGTCCCCATGACGATAGAAACATAGGCATTTACCTGAGCCATTTGCTTTGGCATACACTTCAGCTGCTCTTTTCAAGATCTGGTAAGTAACTTCATACTGCTCAAAGAACTTACTATTTTCAATAACAGACTGAAAAGGGAAAAATTAAAACAGACAAGATATTAATAACAAGGATAATTTCCATGAAATTACATCAGGACAGTGACGACAACATGTAACTTCATTATTCCTCCACTGTTTTTTTTCATTATTATAAAATAACACATAGATTTCATCTTTTCAAACTAATGGTACAGCAGAGTCAGACTTCAAAAATACATTTATTTACTTTGCATATAGAAAGATTTTTTTAATACATTCCTAGTCTGCTAGATACTGGCGTGCTGAAACTCAGTATCACACAATACTTTAAATGTGCAGAAGCTGAGCAATTAACTTCAGCCGCTGAGCTGAAGCAGAAGCTGAGCAATTAACATTAATCTAATGGAAACTGCTTTACACTGAAATATAAGTGGAATCATTTTAATAAAAGAGAAAATTTCATCAATATAGGTCACCACAAAAATCAAATCCAGCTGAACTTTAAGAACTGTTCCTGTATTAAGCCTTTACAGAATGGCACATCTCACTTTAAGAGATGAAAAACATTTGATTTATCCTTCAGTTTTCCTTCACCTCCTTTATAACTGGTAAAAATAAAATCAAGGAAACGCTGTACAAAGAGATGCTGCTTTTCCAAAGTGTGACACAGAACTTTGTTATGTTTTAGCTGTGTAAGTTGCTATAGCGCAATGAGTAATTTATCTGGGAATATGCTGGTCACAAATTAACGGCTCTTTATCATCTATGCCTCATTATCCCTTATGGAAAATGACAATGATGTATTTTTTAGATGTCTTTCAGAAATATTACCTCCTTTAAGTGCAATATATAATTATATCTCTGTATTATGTGAGCATATTGTATCTTACATTACCTCTGTTAACAAAAGAAGAAAAATCTGCCTTTTTGCAGGGCTTGTATATTATCTTACCTAATGTACTTATCTAGAGTTTTGGAATGGCTTTGGAAGTTATACTACCTCCCATGGCTCCTCGGATACAGATCTACAAATGTAAGGCAAGTACATCTCACGTATGTCTACACAAGCTTTGGAATGTCAGAGTAGACAAAATTCTATGTGTACTAGTGTGATTTTGGTAAAACCAGGTTTTGAATGAGGTCAAAGTTCAATGTACTTTGAAGAGGATGGTTAGATTTTGTGCATTCATTCACTGACATCATATGACATGAAAAACAGTTTAAAAAAAAAACCCCAATCTGTCAGCCAGTATACATCTAAAAATCTTCTACTTTAAAATCTTTTACAGTTGCTATGTCAAATCACCACAGCTATCTAGTACATAATTTAGAAATGTGTTTATAACCAAGAAAATTAGAAGTCATGGACAACCAGAATTTTTCTCTGCCCTAGTGTTAAAAAACCAAAACCTGGCATGCATAAAGAACTACATATCTTACTATGAATTATGTGACAAAATCTTGACTTTCATTTTTGTCAAGTCTGTATATACAGACATTTTATCCTGAATTAAAACCTTCAAGACTTCATATGATAAAATAAGACTCTGCCAAATGGCTTATATAATACTGCTCTCAAGAGCAATAAGAAATATTTTCAAAAATTAAATATAGACACTTTACTGATTAATATTGTCTCCCGTCTAACAAAATCCTTTAAATAAAATATGTAGCTTTTCTCACATCCACATAGCATACAGTGCTAAAAAAGTGTCAATACAGCAATGCTAAAACACAGCTGCGTGGGTTAAAATCCATGGATAACTGTACCCAGTATCTCCATGACATTTGAGACTTTGGTACAGCACATTCTTCAGGTTGATGGTGCACAATTTGTGCTGACCTTCAGTTATAAGTTATGTGACACCCAGGTGAAAGGATGGGATAAAGTAATAACCACCACTTTTCTTTTTAAGCTACAGTATGTAAATATTTTCCAGACATAGGCTCTATTCAGATTCTAACTACGCATGTTCCTAGAATGCTGACATTGCTCAGTCTGCTTTGGCAGACAAACACACGTACATTTTTATCTCCTACTAATACAGTCGCTGAGTACAAGGTACTGACTACAGCTTTCCTACGTCAGATTCCTAATTTACTGGAAGAGTAAGACTTGGCTCTCAGTCCTAGAAAACTGCTCCCAGATAAGCCAAAGCAAATAAAGTCTCTTTTCATCACTGGACAACTGGAAGGGGCCAGAAGCCAAGGCCATCAGGAATGAAACTGAGCTCTCTTTATATTCTTGTCCCAGTTCCCTCATTTTGATTTGATGCAGTTTCAGAAATGATGCAAGAAAGCATTTTCTTTCCCATAACGACCATCTCAGCATTAGTGGTCTGAAGCACAAGAGTAATTCAGGCAATCACACAATAACATACAAATTTGCCACTTAATGTTCATTTTAAAGCAAAATATAAAAAAGTGATATAATAATCCAGAAGTCAAACTATCCCATTCCTTATTATTTCCCTTGTCACCTTTAAGTAGTTCAGACTGCAACAGTCTTACAGAGCATAGAAATGGACTATAAATCTTAGCTATTGCAAATCATTCTAGCAAACAATGTTATTCTAAATATCCACCTCAATTTTGCAAGGCTTGTCTAAACCAAAGCTTAACACCTGAATTTTATGTGTCCCTAACTGCTAAAGTTTAAACATAGAAAGGGAAAAGTGTGAACAGGTCTTTAATTCTCACTTCTATTAAGTTTGCAGTACTTTTCAAAAGCAATAAAAACTATGAGGCTGTCAGGGCATCAATAACTTTTTTCTACACTGTGTCCTGGCTCTGAATGGTTCTATAACTGTATGAATTATTTCCAAACTGAATTTTCCCATGCAATTTTGCTCATATGGATTAGATAGAAGGGGGAAAAAGCATTTAGTCCAGCCCTGCTTTTGAAAGAATCCCTCATGCCCTAATGTAGAAGTGCAGCAGCGGTATCGTTCTACCAGCTACTTGGCACTGCAAGTTTGGATTTAATAAGATACAGCAGCATAAGACTGAAAGGGAACATATCCTTTCAAAGAATAAAATAAATCCCTTATCAGTATAGCATATTGAACAAGTACACATAGGCAACATAACTTCTTTTTTAAACTCTCTTCATTTGGAAGGCCTAAAAAAAAAAGTACTGTGGGGGACTGCATTCCCAAAACTTCCTCTTTCTCCGTAGTTCACCTGTGAATAGTCACTATAAAGTGCATCTATGCAGTTGTAAGAGATGAAATTAAGTTTTTTGTAATTGTTATATAAGATAATTAAAAATCCAGCAGTTGAATATGCTTGATAAATTGATGGTTGGACAATTAACAGCTGGGACATTATTTCTGCTTTTGAAGGGGTGGTGCAAAGAGAAAAATATTAATTTTTAGCCTTTTAACTAAAGTTCTCCATGGGGAAGACAGATTCACCTCTGAAAAGATACTCCACAAAAATACAGTCATAAAGTCAATAACTGGCAAGTCTTTTTTCTGTTTCTGTTCTTTTGTTCATTCCTAGCAATCTTAAATATGAATATTTCAAAAATAATTATAGAAAGACTACAACCCCAACTTACAATATAATTTTGAAGAAGTAGTTCCACTGACTCTCGTCTTCCATATTTGATAATCCATGATTTTAATTTTGATTCTGCAAGGACTAGGAGTGACAGTAGACGGTACTTCAGTTCCAGAAACTCCATCTTCAACAGATGGAGCTCAGATGAAGAGACAACAAAATTAAACCTATAAAATGAATCACACTGTAGTAAAATACAGCAACATTCATTTTTGCAGGACAGACTGCAAGCTTTAGTTAGCTCAGATATTTTTCTAATATTTCACCTAATTCAGAGTCTACAAACATGTAATTATGCATGACAATAATTTTGATGACTGCTTTTAAATAGAAAACTAATTAAATTTCTGTTTATACATAGAAATCATCTGTTTATATCTGTTACTAAGTTTTGCAAAGTCATTTTTCTTTTCTTTTTTCACATGCATCCTGGCTGTTATTACATAACATTTCTTCCAGGGACAAGTAATAACAGGACCAATGTAAAAAGTATTCCCTTCCAAAACCCATTGTTTATTTTGATTTTCATCAATCCATAGAGCATCAGGCTACTCGGTATATTTTTATGTCTATTCTAGGAGGTTTTTCCTTCCAATTTTTTTATGCTTGCCACTTAGAAACATAATTAGACAGTGATTTCTACACGAACAGATTAAAAAGCAAACAGGTCCCCTTTCATTCACAGAGGGTTTTTATTTCAGATTGAAAGCCTTACCTCTCTGCCATATCCTCTAATTGGTCAGGTGGAACAGGCACTCCATTAACAGACCTGGCTCCGTGGATCTCATGGAATGCCTTTTTGTGACCGTCTATGTTTTTCAGCAGATCCTAATTTGGTTTTAAGAAAGAGACCGATTGAAAGAGTGGGGGGGGAGGGAGAGAAAGGGAGAGAGAGTAGGAGAGAGGCAGAAGGGAGAAAAGGAAGGCGAGAAGGCTCACAGTAGGCTATCTAACTAATAAGCACAATTTTAAGCCTGCACTGATGACTCAATGTAGTTAACTATTTGATCATGCTTTCACATTTACATGCAAGGTTATGCATACCACAAAAGCATTTACATCAACTTGAACATGCACATAGGGAACCCCCTTATAAGATGCTCTGCTACAGCTGTGCCTAACAATTATGGAAGATTTTAAAACGGAGGATACACTGCAAAGGTTTAACAAAATAGCAACTCTTAACTGTATTAAACATGTCTGCAAATACAGTCTGCGAATACTCACAGTAAATAGCCTGCAAAACATCACAACAGCATAATCTTGCTAAATTTACTCTTTACAGATAACCTTTATTAAGTATAATTCAAATTTCAAGCAACTAATCTACTTTGCTATATATAAGCAGAAAATCCACAGCTCCTTATATAAGTACATATTAAATATTTAGTGAACTTTTCACTCTCTCACCATTAAAAGACTTCAGGATCGCGCTCTCTATATTACACGAATGAATGCAGAATGTGGTACCTGACCTGTATTCCTGTGATAAGAATTGTACCAGCAAAAACCTTACAGCAGAGCACATTTCAACTGTAACTAAGCAACACCACTTCAAACGGCTTCCTGGAAACTACATATTAAAATGAATGACTGGCAGTAGTCTTTGAAGAGATACTGTAACAATAACGTGTCAAGTCCCCAGTGGCTGAGAGGACACAGAACAGTGGTATTTTACTGCATACAGACAGCTTCTGGCACAAAGTGCTCAAAAGCCTGTTAGCAGAGTAAAATATACAAAGGTCCCTCATTCTCACCTAGGGGAACAAAATGCAGGCTTGCGTATTGATCACAGATGTCTACTTATTCCTCTGTGCTGAGGAAGGGTTTCTCTCCAGCCAACGCCCAGTGTTTGCACAGCAGAAAGTAAAGGTATTCACTGGTTCAGCTCAACAAATGGTCACACTGTCCCCATCAACCCACCTATATTTTCATTGTTTTCCACTTCAGCCAACACCTTGTTGTAAAGAAAAATGAACTAGGCTTTCTCAGATGCAAGTAATGCACTGATTTTACCACGGTGAAAACTCCAGTAAGGGTAGGTAACCTGTGACTAACATACTCCCACATAAAGGAAAGGCTTGGAACAAGTATCTCAGCTAGTTGCGTTTAAGACCGTGCCAGAAAAAAAGGGATGCCCCTAACATGCATTGTGAATCAAAATAGAACCCAGTAGTTTCATTCAATGTCAACTGGAAGCTCATGAAAACTTTTATATAGTATTCTTATGAAGTAAAATCCTGCTCTGCAAAATGACCCTAAACAAGCACATTGTCCTTAGCTTTTGGATCTTGGTGGCAATATTAACTCAAACTCAAGTGCTTGCCTGATTCCATGAGGTTTGTCCAATTAACCTGCTACGTTTTATTTTAGTTCAAAACGTCAATAAGCTATAAAGTTCGCTAAAATAAACCATTGTTTTGTTTAAACAAAACAATGAGACAAAGATAGATGAGGCAAAGATATAAAGTGATGATGTTATCTGAACAAAACCATAACAAAAAACCCAACAACTTCCTAGGAAACAAAGACTGAAAAAAATACACTAATGCTTTTCTGGTACTATCCAACAATTGCACATTAGGATTTATCAATGTAAAACTAGTGAGAAAACTACAATCAAGTTTTAAAATGGCAGCAATGGGGGGGGGGGGGGGGAAAGCAATATAAACCAATACAGTCTTACTGCTGCAAGTGCACACTTCCTCTACACCATTTTTTTTTTTTCATATATACTGGTTCAGTTTCTTTTATAATCTCACCAACAATTTTTGTCTATATTTTTCTCTTATATATTACATAAATACACAAACCTCAGTTTTTATTTTAAATGAGAACTTAGACTTTGCAAAGAATAAAGGTAAAGTTACTTAAATTCATATGGAAAAGTTTCCCAACTGCCACAGCAGAGGGGATTTCTCATGTTATTTGTCATCACAACACCATGAATAAGCACTTCATTCTAAGTCTTACCCTGGTGCATATCACCTGCAGTGACTACCAGTGCACTAAGTACATTTGCGTCCTCTTCCCTGTTTCATCTAAGTTCATATTAGTTGAACAATGTACTCAACTTATGAGCTCCCTATGGAATTTTACCCAACAGAAATCCTAGAATAGGGGAACAGTTGAAATATTAATACTTGGTATCTTTCAGCTGGAAGAAGCAGGAACATTCAAAGGCAATTCTGAATATTGCTTGTAAGATACACAGTATAGTTCAAGTCATCACTAAAAGACACAGATTCAGTTACCATCAAGATGACGCCACCCATAGAAACTAGAAATAATCTTTCTTTGTATAGTATGGATCATTTACAGCTTTGGAATTAAGTATAATGTACAGAATGAATGCATGTAGATCTACCTTATGTTGCTCAAGCTTCCGGTGTATTATATTTGCTGTTTCCTCATGAGCTTGCTGAACAGTTACTTCTTCCCTCAGAGCAGCCTCTGCTCTATAGAGCCAAGCACCTATGGTTCCCAAAGGTGCAGGAAGAGATTTATCAAGGTGTATGTGCCAATCAAGTAGCTAGGAAATAAAAGTAAGAGGATTGAACATACTTCCTTGCTTAATTATACAAACAAATATCTTGAGAAAAATCAGACTTTATACTGTAAGACCAAACCTCCAATAATAGGGTACGTTTGAGACATAACCCCAGGTGTATTACTTCACATTAGTTCTGAAATTATAGCATTCTCACAGGCAACAAAATCTCTTTAAGGATTTTCTGATTTGTGTATTTCCCTTTCAGAATGATAATTGAGATACAGAACCAACCACATATAAACTGCAACAGCTGACAAGCTAAAGATCTGAAATTTCACCATTTAATAGGCACAGCAAGGGATGTGAGACCTTCTTCCATGCAATGTCATTTATTTCATGCTCTTGCATAAAATCTTTTTATCTCTATTTTGAGCATATTTTCTATGTGTAAAGGACTGTTGAGTTGAGAATACAGCAGCAAAATGTCACATCTTTTTGGCAATCCCAGTTACAGGAGTAAAAAAATAACAAAAATTGTGTCAGAATATTTGTGAACAGATCCTCTGTTAAATACATGACATTTAAAAAAAAAGAAAAGAAAAACCCCATGAATATACACTGAGTAATAATGATTTAATAACTTCTTATTTGGTACAAATGGTATAAATTGCTAGGCATTTTTCATTCAATTATTACAAAATTACTATAAAATAACCCTTAATTTATTATTATTACAACCAAGTCAAGACTAACACTAAAGCCTCATTTACTGATAAAGTGTTCAGTGATACACAGAAATTTTTTTAGTCGTATTAAAAAAAAAAAGTTATATTAGAATCAAAGTATAGTCTTTATCTTACAGCTCATATTCTGTCTTTGAGCAATATTAAAGATTGTAGTGCAGTAAATGTTCTCAAAACGAATGCAAAATAAATCAACATTGCTAGAAAATTGGTCCATTTTTAGGTTCCTAATGGCTGATAAAATCAATATCAAACAGATTTCTAAATTATTTTAAATTCTTATCCTTCATTTAATAAAAAAGTATATAGCATAATAATTTTCAACTTACCCTGGAAGAAACTCTCTCCCATGCTTGCTTCACCATAGCTTGATCAAGTGATAATTTACCATCTTTCCTTAATGACTGGGTTACAAGCTCAATCTGTTTCCTTTTTACCTCATATTGTACTCTGAAATGCTTAAATGACTGCATAAAGAGAAAATAAAATAAATGTCATAAAAAGTCAAACGAACTCTTCAATATTTATGGAGTACTACAACCTATGACAATTTTGTACTGATAAAAGCCATAATCTTTCCCAAAAAGGAGTAGCAGTAAACTTACATATTTACACCTAAATGCATTTTATTTAAGGTATATAGAGACTGTAGAATCCTCTAGTGAAATATAGGCAGGACTTTTGTATTTCCTTTCAGCTATCAGATGCCTGAACACTATATGAAAGGAAATAATTGATCAGATAAACTATCAAACAGATTAAATGCTACTTGGGACAGACACTGGATGCTTTTAGAGAACAGCCAAGCTTCAGGAGAAAATATAGGCCAAGCTTTATATTGCTGATCTAGACATTAACCTTTGAGAGAGGGGTTAAACATTAAGCTCTAAACCCTGTCCTCTCCCTCTGTCACCTCATCCAGCCTTCAGTCATAATTCCCATCTGAGCTATATCAAGCAGAATCTGGAAGGACTGTGCAGACACATGCTCACTTCTAACTAGGACAGTCCTTCACACTGCTAGAAAAAGCTCTGTGTTAGGCAAACCATCTGTGCACTGTTCTACGTAGGAAAGCTGGAGCTGACATTATAATTCCTCCACCAATAAAAGGCAAGACAATTTGTGTCCTTATTTCTTTAAACCACAGTATATTGATATATAATACAGATTGTACAAAATACTGCAGCACATGTTACACATAATGATGACAATGATGCCTTATCATACAAAATTCTCACTACTGCTTACCTGGTATTTCTCCTGTAAGCTTGTTTCTGCCATTTGTGCTCGGGCTAAGTCTCTTTCAAATTGTTCTGCCCACACTTTTAGGTCTCTCAGCATCAGTCTGTCTTCCTTCTATGATTTAGTACAACCACATATAAAAAAAATATTGCAGCCTATTAGTAGAGGTGTCAGATACAGTCCAGAAGTTAACATGTCTCTAGCAACTGTAGGTCGTTAGTTGTAAGGAAAGATGATGGAACATCTGGGTCCAATTCTCTTATCACTTATCTTCATACAATCTAACTGAAAAGCACTTCCTGAGTATAAGAGAACTCAGCATCTAGATGTGAGTCTTAGAGTGGTGAAATAATGACAATTTGGGACATTGCAGAATAATAGAGATATTACTTCTAACCTGATGTTAAATTAACACACAAAGTCCTTTACATATACCTCAAAAGGTTGTTTTAATTTTCCACATATTTGCAGAGTTAATTTTCAGTAAAAGTTAATTGAGCTGACAGGAGAAGATTTTATCATCTTTTACCACCATTTTATTTCTGATTGACTTCAGGGTAATCCTTTACATCAAGCTTCAAGCTCAGAAGTCAGCAAAATATTTTGATAGAGAATGTTTTAGCAAAGAAAATGAAAACAAAGAAAAAACCCAACTGTACTCAGTTTCTTTTCCTTACATGTCATTTTATGGCTTTGAAGAACAGCCTATTTATTTTACAGTTTTGCTTTAATGCTTCAGTCTGCCATAGTATTGATGCTTTGCAAGGCTGCAAAATTCTCTGCAGGATTCAGTGACATGGTAGTAAATAGAAAAACAGTAACAGGAAACCTCAGGTCTATGAGGATGTTATATGAGAAAGGTTTTTTGTGTATAAGCAGGCTAATCAAGTAGGACACAAGCGTCCATCTGAGATTTCCAACCAATGAACCATATGTGCTAGCTGTTAACAGAAGCTACTCTTTGAGACAAAAGAAGCCATATTACTGTTAAAATTTGGCTGAAAAAGATCTATTACAGTGGAAAAATGCAACAGCACATCATATGAGTTAATCACCTAAAATGAATAATTAAGTTTCAAGCATTACATGAAAGAAGAAAAACTGGGCCATGTGATAAAAAAGAATATATTTTTTTATCTGTTTGCCAAAGATAGATACTTTCCTGAAGTAAATTACTTTCTTGTAACTTTCTCCTGAGAAAGGAGCCAATTACGGTTACTTCCTTAGAAAGCTGCCTCAAATATTTAATGTATAACGTCCCTTAATAATTTTAAAAGCATACAACTATTGCTTCATTTCAGCTGAGGAAAAGGCAGGATACTCAGATAGGAAAGAAACCCTTCTTTGATGTATTTCTACTAATTCTCTTACTGATCCCCTACTCAAAACAGTGATAGTTGGTTGGACAGAATTTGCGCAATACATTGTGCTAAGTAAATTCTAGCTGGGTGGTTTCAGCAAGATTAACATGGTATTAGAGCAGCTATGCTGCAACAAAGTTTGCTATAGCTCATGCTCCTGTCTTCTGACACTTGCCAAAAGCTGGTACTTGAGAAACATGACAGGACACATATGAAGGTTCCCTGCTCCAGCTATTTGTAATGCCGGGATTTCGTTGACTGCACATAGTGTCTCAAGAAGCCAAAACTCCTAGTGCTTCCAACTTTCCAAATCATTTAAATATAGAGAAGAAAAATAAAATTCCTACTCTTCTGATCTGATAGTTGGCTCTGTGTGGGGGAAAATAAAATCAATATTTTTTGAGATAAACAGCAAAGCCAGGACTATTCCCCCATGAGGAGAAAAATACAAGAGACAATTCTCAACTCATTCAGACATCAGAAAAAGAACTTTGGTATTAGATGTCCCCCATTCATTAGAAGTTATAACTTTAGTGGGATTTCTATTAGTATTTAGCTGTCAGCTTCATAAAGGCAATACTAAACTATGCAACTGATAGAATGATAGAATCTGTAATAGTTTGAATCACAGAATCATGGAATCATTTGGGTTAGAAGGGACCTCTAATGGTCATCAACACCCCTGCAATCTTAATGGATTGAAAGTCCTATAACAATCCTACTAAAACTTTAAGTAAGACAATCTTGAAGTCAAGAAGAGAATAAGCATGTCATGATGTTGTGTACATTACTTTCAGTTCACACTATAAACTCAGTTTTGTAAAACACTGGCTTTTATTCCGGTATAGCTCACATTCATATTGCTGAGAAGCAACTCCTTGAGGTCAGTCTGCCAGAGCATCTGTGTGGCTGTAACTGTTCATACAGCAATGAGAGCAAAATAGGTATTTTGCAAGATTCCTGTCAACATAGCTTAAAAATTTGATAATGGCTAAAACTGTGTCTGACCAAATTTTTTTGAAGTAGAGTATCACTGGGATCAAGAACGCCTCTGGTACCTGAAGCTAAAGAACTCAGGAACAGCTGCACCTCTCTTAACTCACATACCATTTTCCCAACATTAAGGGAAAAGATAAAGTTAACAGGTGGCATTAAGTCTTCTGTGATTTACCCCCACACTATTTAGTTAGGTAGTTTTTTGGTTACTTTGTTTAATTGCAGAAGATGTAGGTGTTTCAGTAACCCCATACTTGAATGCTGTTAAAGACATTGTGTAACAATGCATGATAAGCATTTTATTTATTTATTCATATATTTTCACAGGCTTCCAGTTCAGTGCATCACTTATCACCTGCAAACATGGCTCTATGGCCCTTGGTTGACACAAAAGCATTTTAGAGTCTCAGTTTGGGTAACTGACGTAAAATACCCACTTTCTTAGACACCAAGGCACCTGTCACCAACAACCCCCAGGTTTAATGAGCTATCATTCTTAAAATATGATTTTCATGAGTGCCTAGTGCTTCTTCCTCTTAGTAGAAGAAATTTTGAAAGGATATTATTACAGATGTGTAGATGATTTTCTAAAGACTGTGCATCTGAGGTAGCATACAGATCAGAACATAAACCACCCAAAAAAAGAGTTATCTAGGATAATTATAACCATTTGTGCTTTCCCCAGCTTGAGGACCATTGCTCTCTGGTCAGATTTATTTCAGTTTATCTAAGCCACTATGACTTTTTCTGCATATAATTTCAAACAGCATTTTAAAGTTCTATGAATATTTACTGATTTGCAGAGGTGAACAGAACTTAAATGCCAAGGAATATCAAAGAAAGTAATGGAGAAAAATGTTTATGAGTTCCAATATGATAAGGGGTACGATTTAAATTTACAAAGAAAGGTTTTGGTCCAGAATCAAAGTCAAAACATTATTTTTTTAACTTATATGCTCGAGTTAATTTGAAAATTTCATAATAGAGAATACTTTGGTGTTTGAAGGGCTAAAAATAGGCATCTGTGTTTCGTGTTAAATTGAATTATGGACTGGAAAAGGAGTTCTTTGTTAGGTGCTTTAATATGTAATTATAAACCAGATGAACTGTTCAAATTCTCAGGCAAAGGCAGGATAGAATTTTCAAATATGAACTTTTATATCTAAGAATTAAGTCACTTCTTTTTAGGGATGCTGAACTATTATATTTCCCATGTGCTGAAAAATCAAGTCCTTTTAAAAATATTTATACATTAATTCAACTAATTGTGCTATTCCTTTTGAAAACTTGGGCTCATATGTATGTGATACTGGGTGTATATGTGTAACTGAAACACGTTCACTGACAACAGTATCACAGATGCATCATGAATACTTAGCCAAGCATCATCTTCGGGATGCGCTAATAATACCTGTCTGTAAAAGCAGAAAGTAAACCACTGGAAGAACTCAGAAAGTTATTTTTGCACCTGCTACTCAGGAAATACCTCTTATACTGGGGAACTATGCTGGCATAAGGATGTTGGAGGTGACAGGATTATCTTTTGAATTATTTGCTCATGAGAGCACAAGAAAGGAAATACTTGGAAGGAGCATACTTTCTTATTGTTGAATTTATAATAAAATAAAAAAAATTGACAGAGCTTTCATCATTTCAAATCTTCACTAGCTTAAGCAGCAATGCACTGGGCCTGTATAAGTCTAAGAATGTACAGCAAGCTGCCCAACCTTACTTGAATGGATTGGGAAGATGGGAATACTCCTGCTATCAGTATTAATCTACACTTCAACACATATCACTAGAGTTAGATATACGATGTATGAGATGAACCTTGATCATACTTAAAATCATACTTGAAAATAACCCATGGTTTATATATTAAAAAAGCAAAACAAAACGCCAAATCCAAAACAACAACAAAACCCACACACAAAAATGAGTGTGGAACCAAGGTAATTAATAGGATCAAACTACAGGTCAAACTATAAACACTATTGACTGGCTGGAGTGACACCTGTTATTTGTTTCATAATATATTCACTTCTGCCGTTTTCCAGTTTCACCTCTGAATGTTCATTCCAAATGAGCATTCAGTTAATACTAGAAAATTATAACTATCTAAATATCGAAGACAATTAAAAAAGTATTTTTTAAAAAACATTAGCATTTATGTGAAAAAAGGAGCAGCACATATCATGCAATTACACATGAATGCTCTCTCTTTCCAATCCACAGTTCACATACATCACTTACACAACCATCTATACAAACTAGTGTCTACTCTATAAACCTAAAGACATACAAAATTAGCCATCTAGAATGAGATTAGATGAGTAGAAACATCAATCTATAATCTATTGTTCATGTTTATATCTGTACTTCAGAAAACCAAAAGCATAGTCTAAAATTTATTATAGGAAAATTGACTTGCTTTTCCATAATATTTTTCTGAAATTATTTGCAAAATTAAGGTTGTTAGGATAGGCTCACATAAGAAAGTAGACTTAGACTCATTATGTTAATCTACTTGCTTTTTTTAAAGATTAATGTAAGGCTAGCAAATGAATGTACATAAACCCACACAAAATCTAAAGTCAAATAAGTGCAGGATAAAAACAGGTAGCAACCATAAAAGGGATAGTTCAAGCAATTATTCTGGAGCATATCACCCTTACCTTAAATTTCATAAAAGAAATCACAAAAGCTGGGATTGCTTGAAGTTCCTAGCAATATGAATCAAACGGGAAAGCAAGAGGGAGGGGGAAAAAAGAAAAAAAAAAAAGGGCAAACAAAATAAAGCAAAGCAGGCAGAAAGTCCAAAGAGAACAACAAAAGAGCCACACTTGTAAGAATACAAGACGTACTTAAAATATTACCAAGTTCCTGTGTCTGTATCATATCTAGTAAAGTAGTTTTCATATTAGATCTGATTTCCAGATTACTAGTCACTACATGGTTTAGTCTATCTGGTGCAGACTGCACCTTCCACTAGAGCAGGTTGAAGCCTTGAAAATGCTTCCAGGGGTGGGACATCCACAACCTCTCTGGGCAACCTGTTCCAATGTCTTACCACGCGCATAGTGAAGAATTTTTTTCCTAATATATAGATGTTTTTTCCTAATTCAGTAGTTTCCCTTTCACAACTCGTGCTGGAGTGTCTGTGGCTACAGCCAGAGGGAGGCAGAGTGCGGAGTGGCTGAGTACTGCACTCTCCTGCATTGTCTCTGTGTAAACTCAGGAGAAGGCGGTGAGGCTGATCTTCAGAATCCAATCCCAACACACGCAGCAGACCTGGCCAAGGCTCTTGGCAGTAGAAACTGCATTGTGTGCCACGGTATAGAGACAGCAGAGCTGCCTTAGCCTGCCACAGACTACAGCATTAGGTTTTGGCAGCCTTCTGCTTTGGCAGCCTCATTGCTCAGTGGGATGCTATGGTATCAGTACATATATGTCCTCAGACTGATGCTGCAGTGAGGAAAACTTAAAATTGCAGTGCTCAAGCACTAGAATTGGACAGCAAAGCTGCAGTTGCCTTAGCCACACATAGCTGTAAGGAGGGAGATTCACTCTTTTCAAAGCTCTTCTACAGCTCTGTAGGGAATGCAGAGAAACAGATAAAAAGTGCTTCCTCTTTCTCTCTTGCTGGGGCTGAGCAGATTGTCTCAGCAGTGTTTCCTGTGTTTGCCATGAAGAAAGCAAATGATCAGGGTTAGGAAGTGAGTCATGATCACTTGGCATCACTGAGTATAGCCATTCTAATACAAAGCCAATGCACTAGAGCAGACAGAAAACAAAAACTAAGAAAAAGACACAACTGAAAGCAATTCCTTAGAGTGAACAGTTAAACATCACTGTGCAATAGAAAGAAACCTGTGTCAAAATTGTAACTGCCTCTCAAGCCTAGAAGCCCAGAGGCTAAACCTAAGCAATCTCTTGGCCTGTTCTTGTTTTTATCAAGAAACCCAGTGTGACAGAAACAAGTGACTCATTGTTTCAGGTAACAAACTGTTGCATCTCGTTGGTGTTATGTTTGAAAGCATCTTAGGGAACTTTAGAATCCATTGGTTTGCTACTATTTACAATAGCTGTTGCTGTTCTTTTTGGCTCCTACTGCTGAAAATAGGAAAATATCTGCAGGATCACTATTCTGTTTTCTCCATCTACTAGTAAACTTCTGCAACACTGGTCCTTTATTCTCAGCTAATGTCTCCCGGTCTTTTTTACTGTGCTTGCTTTTCACTTGAACTGCTCATCAAAAGGAAACATAATAAACTTGTAAGAAAGCTATAAAATGGATTTATAAAGCCCACATAATTATAAACTTTATTGTATGCAAGATAAACTTACATCATTTTCCTGCACATCAGTCACTGTATGATGAGGATCAGGATAGTACTTCAAAAACTGGGCTACATAGGTCATGACAGACTTTTCATCTGGCTTGTCAACGTCCACATCTAGACAAGTATAGAACACAGTAAATTAATTCGTAGCTGAATGGCACAAAATGCTGCTTAAATGTTTAAACAGTATGAATTAACACATCTGGTTTAACCCATGCAAGTAGTTAAAACTTTTTTCAACTATGCACTAGGTACCTTCTGGATCAAGGAGCCTTGGAATTCCTAGTTCTGCTTCTGCGATTGTGAAGGCTTCTTCCAGGTTTTCTCTATTTGACCTTCCTTTCACTTTCTCCATATCCACTAAATCTGGGCGGATAGCATGAATAATGGAATGAAATGCAACACCGCTCCTCCAACTTTGTCCAAAATCTTTGATTTCAATTCCAACTTGCCTGAAAATATGAATGAAAAAAAAGTGACTTGCAACAACAGGACTAGATGAAATAGGGGAGGATTCTGGATGGTCCACCCACAGACTATCAATTATTAAACCTAAACCACTCGTGGTTCCTGTAATGTTAATCTGGTTGACTGCAGCTCCATTCGTCCACTGCATAAATTAATTTCTGCCTATGAAGAACCAAGAGTTTTTTGTCATATATATATTGTGTTTGACTCCAGTGTACTTGTTAGTGGCAATAGACAATGGTATTCTAAACAAATAAAGTGCATCAAGGTTCTCAAAGTTAATGTACAACATACAGAGTCTGTGTATGTAAACAGCTCCATTCAGTATTTTCTCCCCCTCACTATAAAGTACTTCACGCCTCCTTCTGACTGCTGCAGTTCAGCTAGGTACATCAGTATCATAAAAAAAGACTTCAGTAATCTATTACCTTTCAAAATGAAAGCATGAACAGTGACATCACTGCTGTTCAGGTGAAAATGTAACAGAAATTTCTTTATATTCTCACCAAACTTACGTGTCCACTAAAAAGTAAACACAAATTATCAAGAAATACCAATATACAACAAGTAATCAGAACTGAATAACACTCTGGCTGCATCTTCTAAAAGTAATTCTGAAAGATACGGTGGTCCAGACACTGCAAGATTGTTTTTAACTTTGTCTGAGCATCCAAAATTCCTATAAGGACATACTTAGACTCTAAGGTAGCCTTGCCATTGGGAGGTTTACAGCAAGAGCAGCTCTGAATGAAGGCCTCACTCAAAGCTTACTGCAATCAGTGAAAGACTTTCACTAACTTTAGTGAGCTGGCAAAATACAATGTGAAGCAGGGCCAGGCAAAGTGCACAATCCTTCCTCTAGGCTTCTTTCAACTCATTTCACCTACTCTTCCCAATAATGTTGATGGTATCATTTATGAACATATTTGTATTTTGTTTGTTTAAATGTCTGGAAACTGCAGCTGACCACTTTCAGTTGCCTATCCCTTACTGACAGCAGTGCAGTAGGAAGAATGCTGAATGCCAAGTTAGATTGTACTGCACTATAAATTACTGTATTCTACCTATTTATTGGAGAACTGGAGAAAGTCTGTATCTTTACAATTCTATTTCTTTTCTCTGACGCACCATTCCATAACTATCCATTTTCTCCTATATTTTGCATGACTGACCTCTTCAAATAGCAGTGATTCCTTAATTTGAACAATTAAATCCATTTTATTATTTTACATCTTTGATTTTTATTTTCTTATTGTGGAAGCTATCAAACTATAATTGTATCTTTGATCTACGTTATACTTTTTTTTTTTTATGACTTTTTGAACGTAGAACAAACATGGGATAATTATACCAAATAAAGGATTATACCAAATAAAGGAGAGATTCTTAACAAGAGGTAGCAAGCTATAACTCCAAAATAACTTAGATTAAAAAGAATGAAATTTCAGGGCAATTTATGTAGCAATATGTTGCTTTTATCACAAAACTGCAGAAAGATATTCATAATTTTTTGTCCCCAGCCTTTCACCAGCAAATGCCAGAATTTTGCGCTCCTACACTCTGTCAGTGAGTCAGTGTGGGACTACACTAAGCCAGTGTGGGACTTTCATTGTTACATTGAGTGTTTTGGCAGCAGGATTACTACACTGTCATTCAGAAATCTAATTCCCCTTTCAGTTCCTAATTCTGTCAAAGATAATCTTTCATTATTCAAAAACTATAAAATATGATTGTTTGTAAAATAATGCAAATCATGATTTATTACTTGCTTATTGTATGGTGGTAATATTTAGCAGCCTCAGTTGCCAAAAAGAATATGATCGCAGGGAGGTACTGTATAAATACAGAGCAAAAGGACAATCCCTGACTGAGAGAGTTTAGAATCAGAAGATTGAACTTGAGATATGAATTCAGTTTATGTGTAGGTTACTTACTTTGCTGCTGTGTACTGTATCCATTTTAACAAAGCCTTTCTGGCACTTCCTTGGACCTTGGTTACCACCTTCCGTTTGCTTGGGGGACTTGCAGTTTCTGAACTGACAACACTCTCCACAGAAGAAGCGCTGCCTGACAATGTCTGCAGCTGTGGGAGGTTGCTGGTAAGCTCTTCAATCTGTGGGGAAAATATTAATGGGCTGTTTGTAGATAATCTTCTTAATTCTTAGCAGTTTCTTAAAAAATTTCCTAATGCAACTGACAAAATAAATTTGGGCAGAAGCTATGATTAACATGTGTTTTATTTAACTGTACATTAAAGTAGCTTCAAAAATGCTAATGTATGTGCCCAGATGATGGTCTTAATTTCAGAGAGTACAAGACATTTAGCAGCTACTGACTTTCTTGATACCCTACAGGTGGAATAATACGCAAGTGTGTGACATTATCTATTATGACAAATTACCATTGAAACAGGGGACAATGGCTTACATTTAGCTTGAATTCAAAATATAAAACACTCCACTAATTTCAGAGGAGGCTCATTCAATTAAAGAATGGAAGTGACCTCAGTGATCTCATCTGGATAGCTCTTCATTTACCATTGTACTGTTTTGGCACAAATTCAGTTGTGGTCTTGCTTAGAGGTACCTTGCTAAGGAAAAGTGAGCATACTGCAAGCAAAGAGCATTAGCAGTGTTTGTGGAGCGTGTATGACAGTTACTTGCATCATGCCTCTCATTAAATGAAAATCATCAACTTGATTCTTCTAAGAACATGAAGTTGATTAACACTTTGGTTCTTTAACATGAAAAAGTTATATCCAGAGGACATTGCAATGTTGTCCGTGCTACGCTGTCTACTTAAAAATCATAGTTTTGCAACATCACAGAATGTGTCTGCCGTAATGAGAACCACATCGCATGCATTTCTGCTTTCATTCATGTTAAAATGATGTATCTGCCTGTGACAACTAAAGAAAAGCTCAAAAAAAGACCCAAGTTAAACTGATGCAGAGAATTAGTTTCAGTAACTCTGAGAACCATCATTTTCCTCATTTATCTCTATCAGCTATAAATTAAAAATACAACATTAGTATCATTCTGGTTAACTTTTCTTCTGAGAAGGAGATCTGAACCACTGATGTGTCACATTGGTTGGTGCTCGGAACAGCATCCCTGAGACATGAAAGTTACATCACAAGAGAACTAAAGCCAAAGAACTCCATAAAGAAGAGCAACAAAATTAGCTGGTTTTTTAATTGTTGAGCAGTGACTCGTTTTGTAAACTCATATGGACAGGATTTAGAAAAGCATTTTTCCCTTCCAACTAACTTTAACAGAATGCAAACAATCTCTCCTCTATGAATTCTAATCCCTCTCAATCTACACCATTCACAGCTAAATTTTATCCTGCATCCCCCAGTGAAATCTGTGTCTACATGTATTGAAAACAATTGCATTGGAATTAGTCATACGACACAATTGCCACCGAGGTTGTTAAAGGTACTTGTAACAAGAATACACAATTCTATTCTCTTATTTTGTTGCCCTGCTGTGTTCTTCAGTGAAAGTGGAAGAATATATTCCAGTGACGAAGGAACCCAATCCCTGGCCCAGATCAGTCTATTCCAAAAATAAATATCTAATTTTCCCAATGTGAAGCACCCCTACCATCAACTGTTTTCTTTACTCAGGATCAGATCCACAGCTACCTGTAAAAGTGACTTAGCTATGGTGAAAGACCGGAACTGTACCAGTTCATATGAAACAATGATCTGAACCATTATTTGACTATGCTATACTGAAGTATAAAAAAATGTAGTACCTGAAAATATAAAATAATGGTCCACATCAAGCCAAGCACAATAGAAGGCCTGCCATCAGCAATATCAGTTGAATTTATGTTGACGAGTTTAATCTATATGGGAAAGAAAACATGTGTTACTACCACAGACAAGGAATGATAGTTATGAAATGCATTTCCAAAAATTTTTATATTTTTAATGCATTTTTGTAATCAAAAAATGTTTCTTAATTTTAAAAAAAATCATTGAATGGTGCAATTTCTTTTTTTAGACAATATATCTATAGGTAATGAAAGATTTTTAAGACCATTACATGCTATTTGTAGAAAAAATATTTCATTTCAAGTAGAAAGAACAATAAAAATTACATAGAACCATTGTACAAACCGGAGATCCTCTGTATATGGACTAGCATGAAAAGCAAAAGGAAAAATATGATACAAAAGTAAGTTTTAAGTAATTACTTATTAGGTAAATGCATTAATTTAATTTTATAATACAAAGAAAGCACATTGTTGGCACATCTTACAACACAATTAATAAGGAAAGCAGGGATTTCTTGCTTTAGCTCTATTAGACTTGGAATAGAAAAAGAGAAGTGAGTTTGAGAATAAACAAGAAAAGGAAAAGGGACGTAGAAAGCATAAAAGAAATATAAGGGAAAAAAGAATGCCAAAGTTCTCCAGTAGTGAGTCTCTTATTGTAAAGGATATTACCACCACTGATTAAGGTTCCCTTGCAAGACAAACCTCACTATAGTTCTTATAAAACAAGAAAAGAGTAGGAAAATAATGCTAATCTATAGTCTGAATAAAATATCACCCTAAAAAAAGCTCAGAAGATAAAAGGCAGTAAAAGAGCATGTCATAAAGAAACTAACAGATAATGTTCAAAGAACTGGAATAAACCAGGTAGTACTGGAAAATTAGCAAATACGCTAATACTTATTTCCTCAGCAAAACGAAGAGGCTGCCACCAATCGTGATATATATATGAAGGGCTGCTAAAGTGTTCATGCACTGCAAGCTTGTTCATGGGCAAAGGTTATGGAAAAACCTTGGAGAATAGGTTAAAGAAAAGCAGGAGAATGACTTTAGGTGACACCATTTGTCTCACTGAAACAGAAAAGACTGCAGTTCTCTGAATCAGAAGCTGGAAACCCATTAAAAAACACCAAAAGCAAACAAAATATTGGTCTTCTGGGCTGTTTAGTTCTTTTCAGAATTAAAACTCCACAGCCTACTAGGGAAGAGGCAAAGGAGAAATCCCCACAGGTTATATTTCCAGTCATCACCAAGAAATCTCACAAAACTCTGACAGAATTTGTATTACTTGCTTCTCTACCAGTCAGTAAGGAAAATTTTCTATTAACTACCTGAAGAAAAATATATGAAGAATCTCATTTTCTTAGCTGGACTAATTCCAACAGAAGCTTTTCTTTCTCTAGAAAGCAACATTTTTCTTCTATGTATTAGAGATCAAAAGGTTTACAGGGACTCAGATAAAGCTTCTGATTAGGCTACTGTTCACAAAAGAGATGAAAGTATTCCGACAACTAAAGAGAAAACTAATAGAGGCTCCTGCACTGGGACTACCTAATACTACCAAACCCTTTTGGCTGTTCTCTCATGAGAAGCAGGGAGTAGCTCTAGGAGTTCTAGCTCAAGACCTAGGACCCTACCAAAGGGCAGCAGCTTACTTCTCTAAGGAACTGGATGAAGTGAGTAGAGGATGGCCTAGCTGCTTGAGAGCAGTCTCAGCAGTAGTACTGAATATACAGGAAACAAAAACATTCACTTTGGGACAAAAGATGACCATGTTAGTGTCCCATCTGGGTTGCCAAATTGATGCATGAAATCAGACTCTATAACTCAAAGAGAGTTATAAAGCAGGTATGTTTACTGTGGTGCCGGGTGCAAGAAGGATCAATCCTCCTAGCCTGCACACCAGGGAGTCGAGTGGGTACATATTTATTGCTTACAAACATACCTTTCTAGTCTAGTTATTGTGTTACCTATGTCTTATACTCTATTAAAATGGATCTAAAACTAAAAAATAAACTTCTTAGAGCCACAAAAGAAAAACAGTTTGGTCCAGAATGATATCTGCTAGTTGCCAGCTGCATTTTTGCGGTACGACATGAATATCTGCAGAAGTCTGTTTGGACAGTGAAGATAGGAATTTGATTAAATGTGTAATAAACTTTAATTATGGGAGAAGCCATGTAGGAAGGAGACCCTGTTGGCACTCCCCAAAGCACTGTGCACCACCACCTGTCCCTGTTCATTTGCCTCTGAGTACAGAGCAGGAACTACACGCAGCTGCTGAAGAGGCATTTGTTGTCTGAACAGCATCCCCATCTCCTCTGGGAGGAAAAGCATAACAGACTGGATAGATGCATCATTCAGGCTGGATTCAACCTAGAGACCACCTGCTAATGCACACACAGTCTACCTGACACACTGCATGCTTCCAACTCTTTCTAGAAGAAAATCCGGCATATTGACACAAACTACATACAAAAAAAACCCAAACCCCAAAACCCACAAAAACCCAAGACAAGCAAAAAGAAAAGTCCAGGTAAAAATACTTATATATCAGGAGCAAAAACACTGTGCTCCATTTCTGACCATCTATCTTGATCTGCAGCAGGATCAGTTATCTAGCTGCACTGCTATATTATTTCTGGGATTTCAGCAGGGTCATTCAAAATTCGAGTTACCCACTATGTTGTGACATGTAAACTAGGTAAGCATGGGTTTTTTGCTCTTCACCCCAACTTTGTCTTAGGTTATAGAGGTCTCACCAGAAAGCAGCTCTCTTTGTATCTAAGCCTCCATGGTTAACCTGCATATGATATAGTTTGTATTAACTGTGCTACATAAAATAGTGAAATTGTGAGCAAAAGCTGAATTTTGCTTTGGAAATATATTTGTCTTTACTTTGGTTATACATTTTTCAGTTAAAAAAAAGTTCTCTTATGGATTTCATTCTACAGGCATCCAAGATTGTTTCCCACATAACGGAAGTATGATTAGGTCAAGATGCCATAGGTTTAAAGAGAAGGAAAGAATGCTTAAACCAAACAACTTGAGGTGTACAGCACTGTGGAGATAAAATTCATCAGATATTACATCTGCACTGTGAAAAATTCAACTAAAATGTAAAAATTAGAACAACAAAATATCTGTAATCTAATTAAAAATAAAAACAAAACACAGATACAAGTAATTACAATATTTTTTCATGGAATTGTGGAGAAAAATATAGAGAGAAAAGCCAGGAAAAAAGGTAGAAGTAGATTTCTTTTCTTTGATATGCATACCTAGGTCATACTGAGCTTTTAGGCTTTCTGTCTTCTGTTAACTTCATAAAATATGTTGTTTCATTTCTAAAATGACCACACAGCACTGACTTTTCCAGGATCAATCCAGGAATTAGTCTGAAGTCCTGCCAAGCTAATAAAGGGTTACACTGTTCTCAATTTTTACGTCTGTACTTTCAGGGAGTAGAGTTTCACATGTACAACCTAGATCATAAATCTATTCTTTTCATTATAAATGAATGCCTTACTGAACTGAAGAGCATTGTTCTTTGCTGAGAACAGCAACAGGAAAGTAGGCAACATGAGGAACTGAAGAGCACACTAAAAAATAAATTAAAAAAAAAAAAAGGCAGGAGATAATCCAAGGTAAGGCTAAATAAAAAAATAATAATAAAAAAAGTTTTACCCTGTACATTGCTACACAGTAGTATTGGATCTTGTCACTTTTACCTTTTAGCAGCTTTTAGGTACTGTGTAGAAACTGAAAACTGCAAACATAGCTCAAATTGTGTAGAATAAGAGCATTTATGTGGATACAAGTATTACATTTAAAGAAAGGAAATAAAAAAGGAAAGACTGGGACTATGTGCTACCAAACCTACCCGTCTTCCTTCTAGAAACTTAAGCGCTGTGCCAATGTTGGCAACCCAGTGAATTCTCTTCAGCTGACGTCCCTGTTCACAAGGCTTAAAGAGAAAGGACAGTGTAAACTCCAATTAGATTTATACCAATTTGCCACAAAAAGATGTAGTTCCAAATAATTCTAAGTACCCATGTACATACCATAGTCTGATCTACATGTAAAAATGTTCCTTAGAACAGTAAAATTTTATCTTGGCATATACTAACAGGAAGGACTAACATATATATAGGGAGGTAAATTACATACTTCCATTATGAAAAAGTTACATATGTCTTAACAACCTCAGGATGCAAGCTGTCAGCTTCAGCCCATAAATATCATCAAATCGGAAAACTTATGTAAATATGTTTTTCTTATGTAAAATGAATTACTACTATTTTTATACACAGACACACATATATATGTGTATTTAAGAGAAGGCAACATTCTCTCAGCAAAATATTTTAGCTTACAAAAAGTAAGTCCAGGTGGTTGGTATTCATAAAAATCAGTCTGCAGTGAATACATTTTACCTAGAGGATTTTTATCCATTCTCTCTGATATTTTATTGGCAATTAAAAAAAAAAAAAAACAACTATCACAAACGCTCACTGAACAATGAATTTTGCTGAACTCCAGACATGTAGGCTAAAAAAAGACAAAAGTTCTTTGAATTAAATCAATAACATATCCCAGGCTTCCAATACTTTACAGTGGAATTAAATCCCACAATGAATCTTATATTGTAAGGAAAACATACAAGTACTATCATTTAAAATCGTTTTCAAAAAGTTACAAATGCATTTAACAACGGCCTGCTATAGATTCTGAAATTCCTCTTGCAGCTACTACAGAATATTGCATTCTGGTATAAATAACCTTTAAATTAACAAGACATTATTCTGATTCTGTAATATCTCTTATCTTTCATTAATCAGTATAGGTAGGATACAACCCAATTAATTTCATTGTAACAGATGCCATCATTAAAATCATTTTCCTGTTTTACTACTTCTGTTTTGCCACAAGAGGGAGACTTTCTTTCTGTCTTAGACGAACAGAAACAGAAACAGGTGTATTTCAACAGAGCACAAACACACTTGGAAGAATAGCTTTTTTCTATCTTACAGTAAAATCACTCCTGCAGCCCGAATTCCTACCCAATTTTTGGTGTCACCTCCAATCAAAGCAGAGGTGAAATATGAAAAAGAAGTGAAAGTGTGGCACTGCAAATTGCCTGCATGTGAGGGAACAGGTAACATCTGAACCCTAGAGCAAGCTGAATGACAGATGTTGCTCTTCTCCTTCAGATGCTGTCACTCAATTTGTGAGCTGGTTTGGAAAATGCGAGTGCCCTTGGCCTAAAAGCCTTTTGTTTTTGTCCAGCATCACATGCACAAAACTAGTCTGGCTCATAAGAGACAGCTAACTTGCAATGTAAGTGCCGTGGCTTCTGTATACAACTTGGCTGTGAAAAAGCCATTTTGCATCATTTAAGGTTCTTTACAGTAGCAAAGCAGCTGTCAAGGTAAATGGATATAGAAACCCGTGAAATCTGAGTGGCTGACATTCCCCCCC